CAATAAAAGATATAAAATTTAAGTTATTTTAATTTTTCGTGACCATAAAATTTTGTGTTAGAAATAACCAGAAAATTCTGAATTATCATAGCAATTATTAGTAGTAAATTATATAATTATTAGCTTCAACCATATAGAGTTGCCAATTTTATCTATTTATATTTTACATATACAAGTATTTTGCCTGCATGTATGTAAGTGCATCACATGCGTGCAATGCCTTAAGAGGCCAGAAGGGGGCATCAGATCCCCTGGAACTGGAGTTACAGAAGGATGTTAGCCATTATGTGGGTGCTGAGAACTGAACCCACATCCTCTAAAAGATCACCCAGTGCTTTTAACTGCTGAATCATTTCTCAAGCCCCAATTTTCATTTATTTTAACTCATAAAAATGTTAATTTTGTAGACTGGTCCATCTGGTGGGGTCTCCTCGGCCTTCTTGATCAAGAAGACAGATGACCCACCACAATTACAGGACATTTTGGGAGATGCTCATAGTCACCTGGATCTAGTCGACCTAGGAGGGCAAGGAGCAAAAACTGACCTTTATGTCCCTCTGGCCCCAATTTTCATTTATTTTAACTCATAAAAATGTTAATTTTGTAGACTGGTCCATCTGGTGGGGTCTCCTCGGCCTTCTTGATCAAGAAGACAGATGACCCACCACAATTACAGGACATTTTGGGAGATGCTCATAGTCACCTGGATCTAGTCGACCTAGGAGGGCAAGGAGCAAAAACTGACCTTTATGTCCCTCTGACCAAATTAGTATAGGCCTCAAAGTGTGTCTATTAAACATCCAACTAACCAAGAAGGTTAGTTCCACCAGTCTGGTACTTTTAATTACTATGTGCCATGTAGATAAATCTTGGACAAAGACCAATTGTTCTCAGATAAACCTTACCTAGACATATATTTCTTGATCTGCTATGTATAATTTGACAGGAGGTTGTAGGAGTAATATGGTTCCCTCTGGTTTTCAAAACTAGCTAGGCATTATTTATCTC